TCCATGTCCAAGGCCACGCCGGGCCAGGGCAGCTCACAGTGGTAGGCTAGGTACGTCGGGGAGGTGGAGGAGCAGATGGGCACAGGGGCCTGGGGCCGACAACTTGGGTCCGAGAAGCCTCGGGCTCTTCCGCTCACTGCCTGCAGTATCCGGCCAGTTTCTCCACTGGCCAGGGCCTTGGTGTCCTCACCTGGGCGACGGGGACAGGAAGCACACCTGCCTCTCAGGATAGTTCTGATGACAGTAGGTTGCGGGAGGAGCCCTGTCCGGCCACGTGGAGGGCCCGTCATTACTGTCCCTCTTCGGTGAAGAAGCTAAGGAGTCCTGGGAGAAGGAGGATGGGGCCGGGGGGCGGGGAGGCGGCGGGGGAGAGCTGAGCCGGGGCAGGCGGCGAGGGGGCCCAGAGCGGCAAAAACAATCTGTTTCCCGTAAACATGAGCGCCCACACCAGCCGGCCGCCACCCGGCAACTTCTGCGAGTTGGGAGAGTGTGGGTATGTTTACTCACACTCCCCCGTGCCAGCTGGTATGCTGGGCACAGCTTCCCTCCCAGCTGCCTCGACAGCCGGCGGCTCCCAGCTCCGGGAAGGGGGAGCAGGCAGGGGCCCCCAGAGCTTGCCTGCAGTTCGATTCCCCTCAGGCTCAACTCTTCCACTCCTGACGCTGTCCTGGGCCAGAGCGAGAGGACGGGGCCCCAAGACTCTCTGAGGCCCGTGTCCACGTGGCCAGGCTGCGACACAGCTGCCTGGCTCTCAGAGATCACCAGAGTAGACAAAGGTCAGAACTGTCTAGGGACCGATGCCTGGAGTTTAGGCAACAGTATGCCCCTGGGGGGCCCAGCGTCCCCCCATCACCCAGCTTCCAGCTCAGTGTGTGCTTCCTACTGGGGTATGGACAGCACCCCCAGAACCAACGGGTGCGCATCCCAGGGGCCCTGGTGCCCACGTGGCAGCCACAGCAGGTGCACACACCTTGCCCACGAGGTCAGGGCAGACCCTTGTCTGGGAAGGAGTCTCTGTGACACACTACCAGCTGCCACCAGGCCTGGGTCAAACATCTGGAACTCAAGAAGAGGGGAGAACTGGGAGGAAGAGGTTCGGGGAGAAGGTCTTCAGCAGGTACTACATGGCCTGAGCTGTAGCTTTAAGTTATGACCTCAGAGTTGGGTCATGGGTGGCACATGTGGCCCGAAGCACTGGCTGAGAGTGTGCACAGAGCTGACGTGGGCAGTCACAGTGCTGGAGTGTGCCCCCTCCCGGTCCCCATGGGCTGGGCCAGTTGGCATTGTCACCTCTGTGGTAGGGAGACCCCCTGCTGTCAGATTCCTTTCTCACCTCCTACCTGTCCTCAGAGTATCCCCTTGACCTCCAAGGGAGCCAGAACCTGGGGGAGGTAGCGTCCCAGCTGTGGGCTTCACATAGGCACACAGCCATGAGGATGCTCTTATTCAGTGGCCGCAGTCTCTGGTCCAGGGACTGTGCAGGCGGACCATGGGTGACTCCCTTCCCAGCATCCCTGACAGCTGGGCTTGCATACTTCCTGTAGCAGGGAGCTCACCCTCTGTACAGACAAAGATCCCAGGATTTGGGAGCCCAACATGTGAGAAAGTTCCTCCGGTTTCCCCTGAGCTGGACTGCACCCCACTCCTCACAGGCACCATCAGGAACCTTAGAGAAGGGCTCTGTTGCACTTGGAGCTGGCGGAGGCCGGGCAGGTCTGGGGCCAATCTCACCGGAAGTACGTGGGCCTTGGGGCCAGAGGCCTCATTTGGAGTTAGGCCTGGAGGAAGGGGCGGCATGGCATCGAAGTTTGTTTAGAAGCTCACTTCTGCTGCAGGGGGGCAGAGGCAGGCCGCACCCAGGATGGCACTCTGTCTGTCACGGGTCCTGCATGGCAGAGGCGGTGTCTGGGGGGGCGAACGGCAGGGAGGGAGTTGGCACGGATTGGCCCTAACGCAACTGGGTGGATTTGGTTTATTGTTTTGTGTTGGGTTTTGTGTCTTTTGAAAAACAAGAGATTGAGCCTTTTTATGACATGGATTTTACAGCGTAACGAGCCAGCGTAATTTCCCATTCTCGGCAGCAAGCACACTTTTTACACTAATTGCATAATTAGACATAATGTACTAATTGCGGTAATGGATGACAGGCAACTAAACTTTAACTTTAAAAACAGGGAGGCGTTGCTGGGGGGGGCGGCGGGGGCTTCGCACCCCTGGAGTTTTCGGAGGGGATCTGCAGGCCACAGCTCCTAGCAGCTACTTCTCGGGGAGCTGAGGGGCCCCAGAGCCACCAGGGCCTCCTTGCCTGTGACCTAGGCCACACCTCCTCCTCCCCGGGGGCCCCCACCACCACCTTGGAATCTACCTGGCCCCTCAGCCTCCCTTCTGCGGCATGAGCGCGGTGCTCCCCCACTGAGCAGGGCACTGGCTCTGCCTCCTCCTGGCCTTGCACCTGCCGGTCCCTCTGCCCAGTCCCTCTGCCCTGTCCCTCGTCCGCTGCCCACCCCCACGTGTGACGGCCTCCCGCTCAGCCTGTCAGGCTCTGCTCAGATGGTCTGTCGCCCGCAAAGCCATCTCAGGCTTTTTTTAAAAGATTTTATTTATTGATTTTTAGAGAATGAGGAAGGGAGGGAGAAAGAGATAGAGGGAAACATCAATGTGTGAGACACATTGAGCAGTTGCCTCTCTCACGCCCCCAACTGAAGACCTGGCCCACAACCCAGGCATGTGCCCTGATGGGAATTGAAGCAGCAACCCTTTGGTTCACAGGCCTGCGGTCAGTTCACTGAGCCACACCGTCCCAGTCTTTTCCTTGACATACCCTCCTCCATATCCTAGGAGGCCACCCCCACAGCCCAGTGTCCTGCATACCTCTCCCTGCTCCCCCCTCTGCTCTTAGCCGTCCAAATGGACATCTGTCCCCTCTGGATGGTGAGCCACAGGAAGGCAGGGACAAGGCCTGGCCCATCCCGGCCGCCCCAGGCTCCAGAGGGCTGCAACAAGAGCCTGCGGCATGAATGTGGAGTGGCCCTGAGGGAGTGTGAGGACACAGGGGTGGGGTGGGGAGGAGGTGGGACCACTAATGGGACACTGACCCAGGAAGCCCGCATCTCACCTGGTCCTGGAAGCCAGGCCAGGAGCCCCCCTGCCTGTCCCCTCGCTGCCTTTGTGTCCTCCCTTGTGGTCCTGGCAGGGCCACATTGTCGTGGCCTGGGTAGGCCCTGTGACCACTCTAAACAAAGTTTATTCCAGCAAACGCCTACTCGATAAGGTTAGTTCTTAACAACATGACAACTAGCATCACAATACACAAGCCCTGCTTGTGACATGACCCCATATGTAGGTGACTAACCACAGGGCCAACCCACCCCTGGATGGTGGCAGCATGGCACGGCCATGTGGGGACCTACCCCCTGCCTGTGCACTGGCTGTGTCCCCAGTGGGCTCCAGGGCCCCTTGCCCTTGCCCTATGCTTTAAGTCCCATACCAGGAATATCAGAGAGGGCCACAACCCCTGTACCTGGGAGCTCTCAGCCATACAGAGACCAGGGTTTGGTGTGTCCCCAGAGCAGGTGGGTTGGGGTTCTGTGCACCTGCAGGGGGACAGCCCCTCAGTCCAATCTGGAGCTGGGCTGTGGGGCTCACGGCTGGTGGGGTGAGGGGAGAGCCCAGGAGGTACAGCCTGTCCTGGGCCCGTCCTGCGTGTCCTCAGTGGAAGGGCCCCCGGCGCCCAACTGCTCCATCTCACCTGTGGTCTTTGAGCGCAGTGACAGCTATGTTGATACCCTCCGTTTTCCCCACGAAGGCTCGAGATGGGAGCAGCAGTTTGGCAGGGCTGGGGGCAGGGCTGAGCTTTGCCCTGACTGGCTGGGGTCCCTGAACTGGTCACTACCAGTCCCCTATCACCCCACCTCCCTCCTGTCAGGGTCCCCAAGCCACTGAGAGCCCCCTATCTTCCACCCAAGGTCCCCTGATCCCTGGCACAAGTGTGCCATTCCAGCAACCGACCTTGTCTCCAGCCCCAGACCCTGCAGCAGGCAGTGCTTGTCCAGCTGCGGGAGGCCCTGCCCACCGTCTCCAGGCCCCTTGCTGCTGGCTTTCTAGACCTGTGGGCAGGAGGGCTGGGCTGTTGGACCCCCAGGGGCTGTTTTTTTTTTCAAGACCAGGGACCAGGCAGCAAAACATGGCTGGAGGTCCTTGGAGAACAGGAAATCCGCCAGGAGTCAGACCGTGGGACTCTGCTGCCCCCCACCCCACCTGTGCCCCGCCTGGTACCTGGGGCAGGGGGAAGGGTCCGGGAAGCTGGAGCGCCCAGCTGGAAGCCGAACCTGCAGCTGTGCCTGGGCCTTTGAAGAGACAGCCAGCAGCGGGGCCCAGCCTGCGTCAAATCTTTCTCGTTCCATTTTCTCTCTGATTTAATTTTCCAGAGATTAGGGCCCGTTCACCTTCGCTGCAGAGGAGCCTCACAGGCGTGCCTGGTTTTCACTCGCAGGGCTGGGTGGTTAGTTGCTCAGGCTGGTTCTGCCGGTCCTGCCCCCACCTGCTCCTTTCCAGCGTGGCCCTCCCGCCTCCCCTGGGCACTGGGCCTCCAGTGTCACCCTGAGTCTGCCCGGCCCCCTTTCGGGCCCCCAAACCGCCACTTATCCCGCATGCCCAGGTTGCCAGAGGCCTCACCTCCAAGCCCGGGGGTAAGTGCTGGGTCAGGAGTGTGACCCAAAGCAGGGGCCATGGACCAGCAGACCAGGTGAAACCTGGGCTCTGCTGCAGGACTCAGCCTCTCAGATGCTCAGCGTCCCGGCGGCTAAATGGGCGTGATCTGAAGGGTCCCTCCGCAGGGGTGGCCAGGTCAGTGTGTGAAGCTGAGTGTGTAAAGCACCTGCCCGGGGTGGCCAGAGTGGACGCCCGGGGATGGAGCGGTCGGATGGCCTCCGTGGCCCCTTTTCCCCTCTCCCCCCTCCCCCTCCTTTCCCTCTGCCCCCACCTTCCTCCTCTGCCTGGGCGGGTGGGGTGCTGGCTTGGGTCCAGGCGCCACTGCTGCTGGCTTTTGGGGACTTTGCAAAAAGCCCCTTCAGTGTGACTGGGACACACAAGGTCGTGGTGGCTGTCCCGGTGTTCCAGGCGCCGCCCCCCACCCCCCAGTCAGGGCTGCTGGAGGCTGTGAGGACCAGGCTGGCTCCACCTGCCCCCATGAGCGTCCAGGCTTCCTCTCCAAGGTCACCGTTCGTCCCAGTGCCCTCCAGGCTTGCCCTGCCTGTATGTGAAGCCACCCAGGGAGGCGGGAGGCTGGGCAGAGGTTCTGGAGCCCCTGAGGGGGCCTTGGCCCCCACAGGCCCTGGAAATCCCTAGGCAGAAAGGCTGGCCAAACACACTGCTTAACACGGCTACTAGAGCTGAAGAGGGCGAGGTTGGGGTCGGCATTGAGGGGGGCGGTAAGTAAGGAAATGAGGGGAGAGACAGAGGGACAGGTGTCAGTAACTGGTGCAGGGCGGCCCAAGGGGCGGAGGAGGAGGACGCCCTGGCCATTGGTGGCCATATTGACAGGGGTGGGGGGTGGGGAGGGGAGCAGGGACTTCCCGGGAAGGAGAAGGCACAAACTGCCTCCTGAATCGTCCCTCCCAGCCTCAGCCCTGCTGTCCCCGTCCTCGGCTCTGGTGCTGCTGTGTCTTCTGCCTTCCTACCTGTCCACCTGGCTCCAGCCAGTCTGTGTCTCCTCACCTGCTGCCCTGGCCCCTACTGTTCATCGTCACTTCTGTGGGGTGAACCCCCTTTTCGTTTCTCCCCAACACGGCTGGTGTGAGCTGCAACAACCTGTGGACCCCCCGCCCCGTCTCTGTCCTCGGTCTGGCTGCCCAGCAGAGGTGGGGGCGGTGCAGGCTGTGCAGCTGTGGGAGGTAGATGTTGGGTGTCTCCGGTCAGCTCTCGGGACGAGGATGCCAGCCGGCGTGCGGTCCTGCTGCAGTTGCCGAGGCCCTGCCCCAGGTGTGCCCGGCCCATCTCTTCCTTCTTAGCGGCTTAGGGACCAGGGCTTGCATCTGGGGCCCAAGGAGAGCCCAGCCCTGGGAGTGCTCTGGAGCTGCTCTGGGCTCTCCCTGGCTTCCTGCTGGGCCTGAGGGTGGAAAGTGCTGCGTCAGCAAGAATGGAGAGATGGCCTGACTCCCAGGGTGAGACCATCTGCTGGACTGTCTCTTGGATCTCCCTGAGACACAGGGCTCAGCTCAGGGCCCACCCCGGGAGGCAGAGGCAACTGGAACAGGTCCAGGGGGTATGTTAAGGAGAGGGTGAGGCACCTGCAATAGAAGGAGGGGGGCTGTTGTGCTGGAGGGGCCCATCTGGGACGGGGGGACAGACTTGGCTGGCAGCTGGACCACCCCTGCAGTTGTAGAATCTGACCCTCATCTCCCCAGAAGCCCCTGGCTCATCTCCCCACCCTCGCTCCAAGGAGGGTTTAAATAGGCCGGTGAAGGTGAAGGGAAGAGGGGCAGGCTGAGCAGAGGAGCAGCCATGGGACTGAGCAGGGGCTGGGGATCCAGGGGCCTGGAGGCGCATGCCAGGCACATGGGCCAGTAGCAGGTGTCATGGTGGGTCTTCAGGTAGAAGTGGGACAGGAGGAAAGCACAGCAGATGCAGCGCAGTCTCCAGGAGCAGCAGAGCTGCAGGTGAAGTGGAGGAGTCAGATCTGGGCCTCGCTGGCCCCAGAGCTCTGCTCTTGAACGTGGAATGGAGCGTCTGCATTTGCCGAGGGTCTGCTGAACTCAGGCCCAGGGCTTGGGAAGAGGTGGAGGGGAGGTGGCTGTGGCTGTGCCCTCCCAGCAGTGTCCCTGTGTCTGGGTTCCCCTGTGGTCACCTCCAGGACCCAGGCTGAGGTGACAGGGAGACAAGGGCAGGATGGCTCAGGAGGGACTGCCCAGGGTGACCAGGGAGGTGGGGTGCGGCTGGAGGTGGCAGATCCCAGGAGACCAAGGCTGTCTGCTCAGGAGCGGACACCAGTGGCTCCGGATCCTGGGTACAGATTGAGCAGGGACAGAGTGGAAACAGGAAGGGGACTGTGATGCCTCCTGCAGAATTCTGGTGACGGTCACCATCACAGCAGTGACAATAGTGTTGGCTCTGGGCAGTCCTCACTGGCCTGTGGGGTGGGCGCTGCTTTCCTCTCGTTTAGTAGAGGTTCAGAGATGAGGTGACTCTTGGCAGGTTCCCTGCTTTCAAGCCCTTATGCCACCTGTTAGGGCCCTAGGGACAACTCTGCCATCTGGAGACCTACTCCCTGGGTGGCCCCCACGCCCTAGCCCAGTCACCATGCCAAGCTACAAGGGACCCCCTGGACCTGGCCGAGTGGGCCCCCTGTGCCCCTTGAGGAGAGCCGTCAGCAGACCATGTAACCCAGCCTCAGATCTGGGACTGCCGCTGCTGGGACAGCCTCTGATAGGGGCACCTGGGAATGACCTTGACGGGGCATCAGGTATGGGAACTTCATCCCACGCCCCAGCAGCCGGGCAGCTGCGCCCCCTGCCGGTACAAGCGGGCGGGAAAGCATGTGATTTTAAAGCCCTGAAGCCTGGGCAGGAACGGGTCAGCAAGGATGGGGGACCTGGCTTTGCCACTCACAGGCGTGTGTCCTTGATCTGTCCTCGCCTGTCTCTGAACAGTGGGCACTAGGCTGCAGGCTCACAACCCTCCTCGACCTCTGTCTCCCTCTGGGGGCCTCAGGCACAGCCTGGCCTGGTGTCCACGTGGGGCCTCCATCACGCCTGGCCGTGCGTCCAAGCCTCAGGACTCACCCTCTAATCGCCGCTGTTCTGTGGGAAAGAGCAACCCCACCACAAATTATTTTGTTCTAAGAGAAGGACAAAAAGAAAAGGGAAGCCAGGAGGGATGGGGGCGGGAGGAGGAGATTGCCGAGCCAGCTTTGTGCGGAGCTTTAACCCTTGGACTGCCAGGCGCTGGGCGGGCAGGGGCTGTGGAGGTGGCCTGTCCCCCACTCCCTCCCCCGAGGTCTTATCTCCCTCGTCTCTGTCACTCTGCCGACCTTATCGCTCCTGCACGTCTGTCCTCATCAGCTGCCTCTCCCACCTCCTTATCTCCTCATCACCTCTGCGCTCTGGCTCTCCACACCCCTCCCCTTCTGCATAGCCTGGTGGCAGGGGCTCAGTCATGGCGGCACAGACCTACTGGGGTCACCTGGGTGGACACATGGACCCCGTCCAGCTCAGACACATGCAGGGGTGTTCAGTGCACGCGCACACTCCCCCAAGACTCCAGTTATGAACAAAAACGCCCACAGAGCTGCTCCTACGCCTCACACACGAGCTCCCGGGCTTTGTTTGTCTAGAGCTCTGAACCCCACCGCACCCCCAACACGCAGGCACGGACACAGACAGGCGTGTTGAGCCATAACACACACGCTCAGACGCAGACTGTCAGACTTACACCCTCACTGGAGCGTGTGCGCAGGCCCCCCCAGGGCAGAGGGAGGGGCAGACTCATTCCCCTGTGTACCTCTTCTTCCCTGTTCCCTGCACCCATATTCTGTGCCCTGAGTGACAGCAGATCCCCTGGGAGACCCGGAGCTCCCACTAAAGTTTCTGCAAATGCCCTGGGGCAGCACCAGCAATAAGGGGGTGTGGATGCCTGAGCCCACGTGGAGGTGTAGGTGGCTGTGTGTGTAATACATGCGGGCATGTGTAGGTGTGTGTACATGTGTGAGCACGTGAGCATCTTTGTGTTGCTGTGTGGTGTGCATGTGTGTTCATTGGCTCCACTCCTGCCACGCCCTGCCTCCTACCCAGGCCACCCTCCCCTCTGCTGCTCCCAGCCCCCCTGAACTAGTCAGGGGGTTGCTGCTTATGGTCCCTGGAGGAGGAACCCCAAGTTCCAGAGAAAGCAGCGACAACCCCATCATACCACCCGCAGTCACTGCCAGCTGTGGAGCCGACAACTGGGTCCTTCCTCCAAGTCCGTGAGAGCACTGGGCCCCACTCCCAGACCTCGGCGCTCTGTCTCAGTGACCAAAGCCGGGGGCGGGGGGGACTGGACTGCGCTATGCACAGAGGACATGTGGGGGCCGTGGCATGGCGCTGTGTGACCAGCTGGCCTTACCCCGGCTCTGCTTCCTTCCAGATCTATAAGGACAACCGGAATCTGTTTGAGGTGCAAGAGAATGAGCCTCAGAAGTTGGTGGAGAAGGTGGCCGGGGACATCGAGAGCCTGCTGGACAGGAAGGTGCAGGCCCTGAAGGTGGGTGCAAGTGTGAGGAGTGAGGGAGGACCTGGTGGAGTGGCCCCACACCGGGAAGGTGATGTGGTAACCTGCTGAGGGCACTCAGCCCTCCCGGCCCTCAGGACTCGGGCCAGCCTGTCACTGGCTGGACCATGGCGGCCAGCTCGGAGCAGCTGGGCGGTTTTACCTGGAGTAGGCCACGAGAGGGGTGGCCTGGGGTCTTGGGGGCCCCGAGTGGGTACGACTGTGGGGCCCAGGCAGGGCCCAGCCCTCCCCCCATTGGGCCTGGGGTCCTCTCATCCCTCTGTCTGTGAGCATGCCCTGGGTGAGCACCTGGCCAGGACAGCAACCTGTCAGTGGCTGGGAGGGCGGGCTGCTGGCTCTGCTGGGGAGGGAGTGGGAGGGGCCCTGAAAGCCCCAGAGAAAGCTGTGGCCTTGTGATGCCAGGGGTCGGAGCCTCTGCTCCGCCCCGCCCCTGACTTTGAATGTTCCTCCGCCTCCCTCTGGGCCTCCGTCTCCCACTCTGTACACAGAGAGGTTGCATCGGTCAGTTCCAAAGCAGGGCGGTTGTGAGAGGTGAGAGAGCCCACTGGGCTGCCCCATGCGGCTGCGCAGAACTGGGCCTCCCCTGCCGCCCTGCCCACCCCTCCCGCCCCAGGGACAGCCTCGGGGCAGGGCTTCCACAGCCACAGAGAGCTTCGGGCAGGCTCTGCAGTCAGTGTGGGGCGGCGGAGGCGGCAAAGTGGCCCCCAAATCGGAGGCACAACTGCAGCTGCCCCGCCTGTGTCAGAGAGACAAGTCCAGTGAAAGGAGTGAGGTCCCGATGCCCAGGACTGCGGGCACAGACTTGGAACTCTACACTCGTGAAAGAAGCCAGTCACAAAGGACCGCCTGCTGTGTGGCTGAGTTTCTGTGAAGTGCCCAGGGCTGGAAGGGGGGCACAGGAGCGGCTGCTAGTGGGAGCCGGGTTTCTTTCTGAGGTGATGAAAATACTCTAAAGTAGAGTGTGGTCAATGGTCGCACAACTGTGAATATGCTAAAAACCACTCATATGCTTCATGTGGGTGAATGTATGGTTATATGAATTATATCTCAATAAAGCTATTTTTAAAAAACGGATGAGCAGGCCCACTTGAGCCATGCCCGCCTCAGGCCAGGGTCATGGCAGGGTCAAGTCAGGGCAGCCACCCTGCCTAACCCCTACCACATCCAGGCCCCTCTGCCCCAGGAACCGGGTCCCACTGTCCATCCAGGGTCCCCTGCCAGCCCCGGTGTGACCTGGGATCATGGAATAGGGGGAGGCTGGCACCCTGGGGCTGGAGCCTCCTCACCCACTATGGACCCAGAGGACCCAGCCCAACCTCTAGGATCTCCTGGTCCCAGGTCAGAGACAATTGGGGAAATGAACTGTCACGGGAAGGAGGCAAAGCCCAGCTTTCCGCCAGGACCGCGGACCCGGTGGGGCCCACAGTATCCACCCAGATCCTGAGAAACATCTCGCCACCCAGCCAGCACATCATGTCCCACCTCCTTGTCCGTCCTGGACTAGGAGGCACCTGGACACTCCCCCCTCCTTTCTCTTCTTCTCTGTCTCTCCCTCTGCTCCTCACCCCAGACCCCCATTTGCCCACTAACCCCTTGCTTTGCTGGCCTCCTGCCCAGCTCACAAAGTGCAGGCCGCCAGTCCTGAACTTGTGTCAAAACCAGTCGATTTGGAAAGGAACGCCCGTCGGGCCTGCAGGCCTGCTACCCACCCTGGATTTGGGGCCAGTCACCTGGGCAGGAGCGCGGGGCTGGGTGGCGGCGGTGAGAGCTGTCCGACCAGTGCGCCCTCTCTGAATGTGGCAGAGCTGCAGTCCCTCCCCAGCCCCTGTCCCCAGTCCTAGAGGGACAGCCCACCCTGACAGCGTGAGGGGTTGGAGCCCAAGGTCTGGGGTTCTGCTTCCGACCCTGTTCCTGCCCCGCCTGCCGGACCCTGGCCGAGAAGCAGGGCAGGGTCAGCCTCCTTTCCACTACCTCTGCAGCCCAGCCTGGGGCCTGGTCCCCAGCTGGCACCATGCACAAATTATTCCCAATTCAAGAATGTTGAGAAAAGACAAACCCTTCACAGAGGGGACACCGAGACTTGGAGGTGCCATGCCTCGGGCCAGGATGTGGCAGAGCCAGGGTTAGAGTCCAGGCCCCTGGGACCCTAAGCCATGCCCCTGACTCCCCAGGTTATTGCTGAGGTGAATGCTGAGCCCAGGGCCCTACCTTCCCAGCTCCTTCCTGGCCAGGGAAACCCCGCTGCAGGGCCCGGCTCCACCCCAGTCCACAGAGGAAGGGGATGACTATCCTCTTCCCTCCTTGGTCTTAATTGTTGAGGATGAGCCTTGGTTGTTTTACGTTTTAAATGGGCTATTAATTGAGGTCCAGCCCTTTTCTCCTTTCCCACATTTGTTAGCAGCCTGAGCGCCTTTGGAGGGTGGGACCCTAGGGGTCTGGCCCCCTCCGCTCCATTGTTCCTCTCTTCCTGGACCCCAGCCAGTAATCCAGTTTACATCCTCTTGCCCTGGTCTGGAATCTGCATTTGGATCTCGCAAGGAGGGAACTGAGCAACGCAGGACAGGAGATCGCTGTTTCACCTAATCAGGGACAGTCAGATGTTTGCCACAAGCTTCTCCAAGCTGCCAGGGGTGGTTGGCGGGCCAGGAGTCCAGCAGCAGCAGGCCAGGGCCGAGGCCTTGCGGCTCGGGTCACCAGCAGCACTGGCTCTGGCACTTCAGCTACAGAGACATGGAGGGAAGTCTCCAGGGATGGCTGCCACCGGGAGGAGGGTTTTGATCCATGGACACATGCTTTTGAGTCCCAGGCAGGGAGTTAGGTGCCTGCTTCTTATAGCAGACTGGAGGCAGAGTTGGACCCAAACCAGGACTCTCCTGTCCTCCCAGCTGAGCCCTTGACACCCAGCCCCTCTCCCAGAAAGGTTATCACTTTGTGGTTGTAGTCCCCCGTCCGTTCCCTGATGGCCTGCTGTGTGCAGGTGGGAGTGGGGGTGCCCCCGTGGAGCTCTCATTCCAGCCCCATCCCTGCCTTAGTTTCTCCCCCTCTACAAAAGGGTCATGAGACTGTCCTGCCCCATGTCCCTATTGTCACAGCTCCAGGAGCCATCATTCCTAAAGGCCACAGTGAGAACAGCATCCCTGGGGTCATGCCACCTTCAGCTCCATCCCTGGCACCTCTGCCGTGTAGATCGGATTGTAGGAGAGACCAGGGAGGAGGCATGGCCTTTGGTAAGGTGAGGAGTGTCCTCAGTTTGGGGCATTCCAGCCTCCTCTTGAGAGCAAGGACAAGGGCAAGGGCACTGTGGCTCAGTGGGCTTAGTTCATGGGGAATGGGAAGCCCAGGGGCAGAGCAGGGCCAGGTGCTGGGCGCTGGGCCCCGCACATTCCCCCTGACACCCTGCTCCTTTGTGCTTCCACCAGTGGCCACGTGGCACTTGCTGTCCACAGGGAGATGGGCTTCTGGTCTCCTCTGCTGGGGGCTTGGTCTGCAATGACCTAGTGACCTTGGGCAAGTCCCTGCCCTGCAGTTTCTTCCT